GGGCAATTGGGAAGGGAAGGGAGCCATTTTTTAGTTAGTCTCAGCAAGGAAAACTAATGTACAGAACGTGTGCAAGCTTCCCCTGTACAAAAGCTTCAACCCTCAAGATTTCCGGGGGGGAAACAGTTTTAAGAGCATCCAAGAATTTCCAGGGAAACAGCCCTAAAGACCAAAGAACTCCAGCTGGAGAACATCTAAGCCTTTACTGGTAGGTCCACTCGGCGTTCGAGAAGCAGTTCGACCCGGTAGTGGAGCCCACATCAGTAAGGGTTAGATTACAGTCAACCTGGGAGAAGTTAAAAAAGGGACTTTCCTTTAAAGTAAAGAAGAAGTTATTGAAGTTGCCTGTCCTTCGTGGGCAAGATTAGGAAGCTACCAGTTGCATAAAAGCCTGGAAGCATTTGTTTAACTTTACTGAAGACAAGAGAAGTTTCTGTTTGATTGTTCATTAATAAAAGACTTTGTTATAGTTCACAAGCCATCTAAAGACTAGTTGTGGTGGAAAACCTCTGAGAACTTCTCTTTGGGGCCCCTGGCTTCCCACTGGGCAAAGGTTGCACGTCCTGTTCTAAAGACAATTCTTTACAGGCCCAGCGCATGACAGAACACTGCATCTCATGGTACCAGAGCGCAGTCTTTTCAGCGCCTTCCAAGTCGCCCTGTCTTCTGTGTGCCCAGGAGGGAGTCTCTCATTCAGTATCAGCCATGGCTTTTCACCTGCCACTTTTGGACTCTCGCTTGCTGAGGTGTTCCTGCGAGTATCTCTGTAGATCTTAGCAAGCTATTTCTTCATTTAAAGCATTGGCGTGCTGGCTGATATCCGAACAGGGGATGGGCTGAAGATGTCTCTGCCTTGGTCCTTTCACATTGGTTGCTACTTCCCGGCGGATGTCAGGTGGTGCTAAGCAGTGTAATTTCTCCAGTGTAGACACCCTGTGATAATGCGGCATGTCTCATTAAGAGCCACATCCACTGTTTTAGCGTGGTGAGATGTGTTCCACACTGGGCATGCATACTCAGCAGCAGAGTAGCATAGCACAAGGGCAGATGTCTTCACTGTGTCTGGTTGTGATCCCCAGGTTGTGCCAGTCAGCTTTTTGTATGATATTGTTTCTAGCGCCCACTTTTTGCTAGATGTTCAGGCAGTGCTTCTTGTAGGTCAGAGCACGGTCCAGAGTGACTCCCAGGTATTTGGGTAGGTGAACTATAAATCCCAGCAACTACAACTCCCAAATGACAAAATCATAATTTTTTGAGTGATGGTCACTCCTTGTGTTGTGAGCCGTTTTGTTGCCAAATTTGGTGTGATTTCGTTCATTGGGGTTTTTTTTTGTTTTTAAGGTACCAGTACTCATTATGCACAGAGCTTATATATATATATATAGAGAGAGAGAGAGTTTTATTTGCTTGCTTGTTGTTGATGTATTGTTGTATTTGTATTTGATGGGCTTGGCCTCATGTAAGCCGCACCGAGTCCCTTCAGGGAGATGGTGGCGGGGTATAAATAAATAAATTATTATTATTATTATTATTATTATTATTATTACTATTACTACTACTATTATTACTATTATTATTATTATCTCCCAGGTATTTGGGTGTGCTGCAATGCTCTAGTGGGATTCCTTCCCAGATCGTCCCCAGAGCTCAGGATGCTTGTGTATTTTTAAGATGGAAGCAACCAGAAACATGCTATAGAAAGGACCTAACAAAATCTTAAGGAGGCCATAAGTATGAGTTTGGTGGTCTGACTGTATAATAACCACATTTGCCTAGGAATTTGTCTCTCTCTGCATACAATAATAAAAGGATAACAGGAGTATTTTTTTAAAACAAGCATTTTTTTCCGATACCCTGTCTCCCATGGGAAACAGAAGCTAACTAATAAAGGCAATTAAAAAAAATAGCTAGACACTGGCTGGAAATAATTGGCAAGATTAAAAACGCAGACCATACGTGGAATTCATAGCCTTGTCATTGTTGCGAATTTTATGTAATGGTGTAGTCTTTTCATGAACGGCTAGACGGCACAGACGGACTCACCATCATAAAGTGGAAGGGCACCCTAAGTGCATCAGACCTTCCCCTGCGAGTGCAGGAAACCCATAATGGATCGGGGTCCAACTGGCAGTTACAACCCACCTCCCGAGGCCATTGTTACCATTAACTTAATGATAATGCTACCCGTTTGGGATCAGCCAGCACCTCAACGACTTAAATCAAGAAATAGTTTTCTAAGATCTACAGAGACACTCACTGGAACACCTCAGCAAGCGAGAGTCCAAAAGTGGCAGGCTCAAACCCAGAACCTCAATCAATGGCTGATACCAAATGAGAGACTCCCCCTGGGCACACAGAAGACTGGGTGACTTGGAAGGCGCTGAACAGACTGCGCTCTGGCACCACGAAATGCAGAGCCAGGGCTACAAATTGGAATCGATGACATGCGAGTGTGGAGAAGAGCAAACCACTGACCACCTGCTGCAATGCAACCTGAGCCCTGCCACATGCACAATGGAGGACCTTCTTGCAGCAACACCAGAGGCACTCCAAGTGGCCAGCTACTGGTCAAAGGACATTTAATCAACTACCAAGCTTGCAAACTTTGTGTTTTGTTTGTTTGTTTGTTTGTTTGTTTGTTTGTTTGTTTGTTTGTTTAAAAATGCAATGCAACTGTTTGGTTTGCTCCTGACATGATAAATAAATAAATTAACATTAAATTGAGCAAGGGTTAAACCCTTGTGCCAACAGGACTGAAGACGGACAGGTCAGAAGTTCGAATCCGGGAGAAGTGTGGATGAGCTCCCTCTGTCAGCTCCAGTTCCCCATGCAGGGACATAGGAGAAGCCTCCCACAAGGATGGTAAAACATCAAAACATCCGGGCATCCCCTGGGCAACGTCTTTGCAGACGGCCAATTCCCTCACACCAGAAGCGACTTGCAGTTTCTCAAGTCGATCCTGACACACCCCAAAAACAACAACAACAACAACAACAACAAAACCCACTTTCACTGCCATGGCTCGGTGCTTTGGAACCCTGGGATTCCAGAAGACAGGAGCAGAATTCAAAACCTATGCTCTATTCTGACTCAGTCAGACCACACCTGGAATTTCACCGTGTCCATTTCTGGGCACCGCAATTGAAGATGTTGACTCTAACCTGGAATGTGTCCAGAGGAGGGCGACTCAAAGGATCAAGGGTCTGGAGAACAAGCCCTATGAGGAGCGGCTTAAAGAGCTGGGCATGTTTAGCCTGCAGAGTAGAAGGCTGAGAGGAGACATGATGAGGGCCATGTATAAATACGTGAGGGGGAGTCATAGAGAGAAGGGACCAGACTTGTTTTCTCCGGCCCTGGAGACTAGGACACGGAACAATGGCTTCAAACTACAGGAAAGGAGATTCCACCTGAACTCTTGGAGGCTTTTAAGCAGAGGCTGGATGGCCATCTGTTGGGGAGCTTTGGATGCAATTTTACTGCTTCTTGACAGAAAAGCGTTGGCTGGATGGCCCACGAGGTCTCTTCCAACGTTTCGCTGGCATCTTCAGAGGATCTTAT